AAGGTGATTTTTTTTTTTTTTTTTTCGAGACACCTTCAAGTACTAATATGGAGTTTCCCCTCCCCACAATCCTGCAGCTGCTGGGCTTTCTTAGAACATATAGATCATACTTTCAATACCTCCTTTTAGTAAAATCTGGCACTGAGAGCTGATCAAATAATACAATGTTTCTGAACATGAATCATTCTATTTACATAGCAAGTTTCCTTGGGGGCATTCCTTTGTAAGAAACTGAATGTTCACAGCCTCTTGACTCCTATCATATAATTATAACATACACAGAGGAGGGAAGTGCATCATGTTGTGATTTAATGAGCCTTACATATACTGTATAATCAGATAGCAACTTCAAGCATGTGTAAAAATGGCACCATGGAAGCAACTATACAGCTGTACTACACAGTCAGTTCATTTTAAAATGCTTTTGTTTAGCATTTAGCTGACCATATACTATATAATCCGATTGTACAATCTCTTTTAGACCCACCATCAACTATGTAGTGCAAGGGCCTGCCCGATTTGATACAATTTGAATAGATTGTTTAGGTGCATACCCATATTACATAGTTTTAGTACATCTAAAGGAGATTGTACAATCAAATTGTAGAGTGTACGGCCAGCTTTGAGTCAAAGGATAAGTGTACTTATAGAGCAACCCCCGTAAGTCTTACTTATCTGTTCTTGATTCTCTAAGATCCAAAAATTTCAGCAAAGACCTCTTAAAAGCAAAGACAAATAAATATGTTGTTTTGGCAAGTGATGCTTTAAAATCATATGATATAATTTTTTTGTACTCACCATAAAATCATTTTCTTGGAGTCTATTGAGAGACACGAGAAGTCTTAAAACTTCAGGTTATACTGCCACTTACAGGATGGCAAATAAAAAACTGTAAGATAGCCCAGGACAACCCCTTTCTTCTACCAGCAAGCCTAAGTTTTGTAGTAAGCGATACCAACAGCATGGTCATAAACACAGAGGGGTGGGACCTCTGTCCATTAATGAATTCCAAGAAAATAATTTTAGGCTGTGCACAAAGTAGTCGGAAGAACATTCCCTGATGCTTCCAGAGGATTTCTGTATTAGGAAACTAACATGTTCAGCATGTAGATAGCACTGACCTGTACAGGGAATGATCTCGCAATGTAGAAGGGACCTCCTGTTCTGGAACTCCTAAATGTAGACCAGGAGCCAAGAGTTTTCTAATTACAGAATCTTACAGAAGATAAGATCTTTTCCAGCTCT